TAATTGATTAGAAATGTGCACACAAATGGTAAATATATGCGATTTTTGTTTGTTCTTTTTTTAATAGCAACCTTTTTGGGGGTTATACAAAATACACTTTAGTATATAACATAATAAAATACTTATTAATAAATAATGCATAACTTAAACAGTAATTAAAATAAAATGCACACAGGGGCGTCGGTGGACGCAAATGTAAGGCGTTGACACGGCGCTTATCACTATAAGGTAAAGGTCCCGGGTTCGAATCCAGCGGCTTTTTTTGCGAACTCACATAAAAAAAGCTCACATATTCAACAAAAACTTGCGAATTTATGACAAATGTTTTTGGTACATATATTTATTGGCGATCCCATTGAGCTTAATTATCATTTTAAATAATTATATTTTTAATCTAAGGCCTTGGCTCTGATGAAAAAGGAAGTGTCAGGACCGGGATTCGAACGCATGACCTTCGGCTCAGTGTCAGGATAGCTCAAGTAGACCAGCGGAGTATTAAGCCGATAATCGTGGGTTCGAATCTCGCTTGTGACACTTGCTTTTTCAACTCAACCAGGATCTTTGGTTGAAAGTATTATTGATTAAAATAGTTTTTGGTACAATTGGTGAATGTTTAGTGCCCGTTGCACCAACTTAGTTTAAACGCAGTTAAGTTACCGAGTACAACTTAAAAATTGAGGTTGACCGTTTTAACTTGAACCTGGTTCAACTTAGGTAGAATGGCCGAAGAGCGCGGGTTAAACCTAGTTCAGAGTTAAGAGACGTTGCAGATTGTATTTGTTCATCAAGAAAAGTTGAAAGCGAATTGAAACAGTATTTTCCCACGTTTCAATAAAAAAATTTAAACTTTTTATATGCAAATTATTGACTCTTCTTTCTTATACATAGGTCTAATCGGGTTTTTTGTTATCAGAAACAAGTGCGGCAATTTTTACTTCTATTATGGTATAGCTCAATGCTTTTTCTCTCGCATATTTATTTATGCTCGTCGCGTCATCATTATGAGATTCAGTAAAATTGCAGTGAACCCAGTGGACCCATTTAAACCGTAATTGGTGCCCTTAATGTTTAAATTAGTCTTTTAGGGTGGCCTCCGTTCGTTTCACGTCTAGATCGGATAAGAACGACTACTTGAAAGAATTGGGAATAACAGCGATTACAGGGTAGACCAAAGAGGGAAATAGTTTTCCAAAATGTTTCTCGGGAAATTATTCAACATTTGAACAATCCTCTTCTTTTTGAGATTTTCTCCTGTGGTCTGAGTGGTGAAAAACCTTTTGTTTGATAGTTACCTATCATCAATGAAATTGATAGGGGACAGCTCAAATTTTTTAAAATCAAATTTGACACCTCCCAAGGAACTCTCCCAACCCGTACGTCATGCTTAGAATGTGGATGGGCCCATTCAAAATTTAAGTATTTAAAAGACCGCATGATCGGTGGCAATCAATTTTGAGAATGCCAGAATTCAATGTTATCTAAATTTGTTTCAGTTAATATATAATAATAAAACCTCTTTTAACTGAGTGAGATAACGAAATTATTTCTTGTTTATTGGGCATGAACATATTTCGGGCCCAAGAGTTTAAATTAGTTGAGAACTGTTATCAAAATTTGATTGATTCAATTAAAATTAAGTAAATAAGTCCATCTTGAACAGTAGGTATAATAACAGTTATAGTAATAGTTACTATTATCGTTTTTTATGTAACTTTAATTTGAATGATCCGCATTTCAATATTAACATTCATATTAACAAATTAGCTAATGAACTAATACACTTTTTAATTAACTGCCCAGTCTTGATTTCTTTCAATTTAAAATATTTATCTAAACATTTCTTCTTATTCTGGATTCAGACTTAGAAAACGTTATTATTACTAGACTTAAATTCTGCTGAATGAAAAACAAAATAAATGTCAGTTTTATGTAATTTCTATATATTACATAAAACTGACATTGATTTTGTTCTATTAGTGTTGAAAAATGACAATTGAATGTTCGAAAACGAGAGCTAAGGTAAATTTGAAGGGGGTAGAAATAAATCAATTAGAACTCGCTTTGTAAAATAAAAATGACACATCTGTAATCTCACAAAAACCATACCAGAAATCTTCATACAATAAAATGCAATGGTTCTTCTTGTAGCAAGCACCTAACAACAAATGAGAAACTTTTCAGAGGAAATGCTCAAGGTGTTTTCCCTCTTCTCGAATGCATAACTGACTTTCTGAATTTCTACCCCCCTTCAAATTTACCTTAGCTCACGTTTTCGAACATTCAATTGTTATTTTTCAACTCTACTAGAATTTAAAAACTGGATATATCAACGTAAAGCATATTAGATGAAGAAGTTTTTGTAAAATTTGACAAGTTGTAGGTATTTTTTTGTAACCTCAGTAGAACGTGCCATCATGGTCAAAAATTTAAATTTTGTAATTTTGACATGTTCCAACTGAAATTGGCTAACATTTTATGTCATTCAGATTATTGCAAAGAAGTATCTTACAGCAAATTTAGCGTTCTTTCAAACGGTGTAATTGGATTTGTTGTAGTTTCAACATTTTGGAAGTTGTAAGCGTTTTTGTTTGGTAAGGTAGTGAAAAGTTGAAAAAACCTAAATTGACGAATATCTTCAAAATAGAGAACTTTCCGAAAATTTTCTCCTGGGCATTTTTTGCTCCAAACGAAGAGTAGAATCGATTCCCTGAGTTTCGTCAGAAGGAACTGGGACACCCTGTATATATACATTTGTATATATTTTCAATGTAAGGTTATTCGTATTTGTAGGTCTTATTTTATGATTGCTTTATGTACATATTATGTTCTATAAACCAACTCTCTTTATGTGTTAGTTGGCTATAAAAGAGTAATTATAAATAAATAAAATAAATAAAAAAGAAATGTCATCTTGTTCTGCCTATCCTCCCTTATTTTGGTTAGTTCAGATGGATTTCAGGGTTTCACCATCTTCATGTTAATGTGATTTTTTTTAGTCCACCGATGGCGAAACACGATTAAGGGTAACTATCAAACAATAAATTATTTTGTTTGTTTGCTTTAAGTCTCGGTTTAAGACCAAATCATAGAAATTTTTTTTTACAGAAGCACTATTTTTCAAATACATAAGGGTGATTATCTCCGAGTCAATTTGAAGTAAATAAAGCTTTCTAAGTCTAGTACCGGATGATAAAAAGTCTTTCCCAGCTCACGCAGATGCCCAAGGCATCTGTCTTTTGTTGACGGCTGGCACACGCCACGCTCGCTTCCAGCTGCCTCAACATCTGCTCTGGATTAGTCGCAATACCTGTTGTTGTGTCGCAATCCACGCATTTTTAAAAAAACTTTGTGCTTTAAAACGAGCTCAACGGAGTAGAAACCAGCTCGAATAAAACGATCATAATGACTTTATGAATATGGAGGTATTGGCCAACGAATAATATTTTTAGGTAGGGTCAGGGAGTATTGATAACATTCCTTGATACTAAGTAAGCGTAAGTAAAATAAACGATATTTTAGAGAAGAGAGAACTTTATAGGCAAAATATGCGCGAAAGAAAAGAAAAAGATGGAAAACACGTAGAGGGCCGGCGATGACCTCAGCTGTTTGTTGGCCCATAAACTTCCCACTTATTATTATTATTTATTTAGAGAAGAGCAACTACATTAATTTATTTCCCTTAACTGTTAAGTTTGAAACGTGGCCAAACAAATCAAACATCCCGCGGAAAAATAATATTAAAAAGGAGTGATAGGGTGCAAATAATTTTTAAAAATGAAAATGGTATTATTTCATTTTTGTTTAGCTTACATTATCCCCCCCAACAAAAGAGTTACAAGTCCGATGCCCATCGTTTAAATATAATAATAATTTTGGAAATTTGAGTAATGGACTAATATAGAGCTAGATAATTATTTAGAAATCGTGAGATGCGGTCTGGTGTGATGTAGGTTTCAGAAAAAACATTTTCTTTATCGTGCCAACGTTTCGATCTTTATTGAGATCATCTTCAGGGCTCAAAGTGTTTGTCTTCTGTGTAATTGTGCCATTCTTGCGTGTCGTGTTGAGAGTGCCCACTACACGAAAGAATGGCACAATTACACAGAAGACAAACACTTGAGCCCTGAAGAAGATCTCAATAAAGATCGAAACGTTGGCACGATAAAGAAAATATTTTTCTGAAGCCTACATCACACCAGACCGCATCTCACAATTTCTGAATAATTATCGATTAACAGTCACTAATCACCACACATAGAGCTAGATACCGAACTTTCAAATGGTGTTTGCCGAAAAACTAGAACTGTTAATACGTCCCCTTTACCAAAACACCACAGAATTTACGACAAATTAATTTCATGTGCCATAAAAATTGAAGAAATCATTTTCCAGATATTTCAACATTCTAACACAATTAAAAGGCCAATTAAAAATAAATTCTATGTCCAAATCAAAGGCCTAGAGTTAAATACTTGACAGAAATATATATTTGTAATGTACCAACCCAAATCTAATTATTAACATTATCATATATTACAATTAATTAAGGTTTTTAGTTGAGATAAAAAGTCAATTATCATATATAATATCTTGTCGATGAAAAACGTATTTATTTATTTATTTTTGTTAATGTGGGAAGTCATGTATGCAGATTCTCCGCCTTTCCGAAAAAAAATCCCCGGGCCACGATCCTATTACCCATAAAATCCTGCGAAATCTACCCCAAAAAAAGCAATAGTGTACATTACGTCTATTTACAATGCAAAATTTCGCACAACCTATTTCCCTATCCAGTGGAAACTATCTTTAATAACCCCAATCCCAAAACACACAAATCCCCCAAATGTATATTTTAAAATAAAATAAATTATTTAAAAAAAATTGTGGGAAAACGCTAATATGCCGACAGATGATCATTTCTTCTAGTGTATGGTGTATGGTACTCTCACTAGTAGTACTAGTGAGTTTTAATACTCAAAAAAATATTTTTGTGTGTTTAGGATGGATATGGAATGGAAAGTGAAATTCCAAAAGAGGACTTGATGCAGAACTACAAACTTCTTGATTGTGAACAGAATGCTACTCATACACTCATGAAGTTCCTCAGAAGCTATGATACATGTGATCGCAGTGGGGATGTTGTCATTGTGGTATGAATATTTAAATTTAGTATTTCTCGGTTTTACTACATTTTCTAACTGTTCTAATTTGTAGAATGATACTATGAGAGTTATTTGGGCGATTGGAGAGAGCGACCCATCTAGACCTCCATGGCTGGATATCCGTTGGAGAGGACCTCAAAGCGTCCACATCGCAAACCCCCCTCTGCCGAAAAAACCCGAAGATAAAATCTTCTGGGACGTACTGGCACAAGACGTAAGTACTCAAATTGAAAACTTTATTATTATTTTAATTTAATAGATTAGATAAGTGATTGTTTGAATTTCAGTTCACACTTCCAGACCACACAACTTCATTTTATTGGTGTAAAATTTACAAGATACCTTCTTTGGACAGAAAACATCATATTATTGGCGTAAGTCAGATATCGAGCTTTCGACATAATTTTATATTCAAATCAATTTTGGTTTCAGTACCTTCCAATGATACAAAAAGGCCATGAAAATCTAGTCGAACACATGATCATGTATGAATGTCTTGGAGGCCCTCACTTCGAAGTCTATGGCAGTCATCCAGGTGCATCCTGCAGGGGAAGTACAACTCCAAAGGACTGGGAAAACTGTTCAACTCCAATTGTCACTTGGGCTACTGGCTCTAGGGGTAAAATTTGTTTTAGTAAATCTGAGAATATTTATTATCAATAATGTATTATTGCAGGCGAATTTTTACCGGAACATGTTGGAATCCCAATGGCCGAAGGAGATGGCAAAGCAACCTACTACATGCTCGAAATCCACTATGATAACCCTGCTTTGCAGAGAGGTAGGTACATAAAGTTTAGATTGTCAGTACTGTACAATTATTTAAAAGAAACAAGTAGAGGTTTTAAATATATGTGGTGCTTTGTTCTGATGATGAAGGTTTGTTAAATATTTTTATCATCTCAGATGATCATGGTTTACATTTTCTCACTGGCGCTTATAACTTCTGGCATAAATGGAGTAGAGCTTTTTGAAGAAGAGTATGTTTAAGAGATGATCAAGCTACAAATTAATGCTTGATTTTTGAGAGTATTCAAACAAATAATAAATACATGGTAATGAAACAAAGTGGAAAAAGTAGGTACAACATACATGTTGGAGTACAGTATCCACGAGAGCATTGTCACACTTTCTTGTCTCGCCACCTAACCTCTGCTGTTCTGCAAATCATTCGCCTAGTCATCGGTGTGTTTCCAGCCCGACTATCTTTCAGCAGGTTGGCGCTGCACGATGTCTTTTCTGGTCAAACGGTCCCCTTAACCCAATTCACGTCATATCTGTCATATCCTTTGGTGACGATTATTCTGTACTGCCCCATGGATTTTGGCCTTGTTTTTGATTTCACGTCGCCCCGTGTTTTTCTTACGGCCACCAGGTGTTTTGTGCTTCGTGGCTGATTTTCTTCATCTATTCGCGTTGTATCGCTCTACTTGTTGTGTCTTCAGAATATGCCTCTTCGCATCATGTGTTAGTTCCTCTCTATCGTCCCAAAAATTGCTCCTTTATTTCCATTTCAATGATCTCATTCAGTGTCTTTCTTGCTTTTTTCAAGGCACAATTTGAACTTCTTTGTACGCTGTAATCGTCTTCAGCCTCAGTCCTTCTTTTCTGGCGGCTTCTTTGAGTTACTGCCTTCTTCCTTTAGCTTCCTTGGCCAGTGCGTACTCTTCGACCCTCGCAGCCTCCTGGTTCGCCTTTTTAGCGGCTTCTTTCTTCTGCTTGTCTTTTTTCTTGAACTTGACGATCCTAGAATTGATGTTGTAAACCAAGTCAACGATATTCCTGGCCAGCTCCTACCTGTGTCGGAGTTTAATCGGTATAGTTTCTCCATCTTCGCTCTAATCTCTCTATTTGCTTCACGATACCGTCCTTGATTTGAAGAATAGCCCGATTTGATGCAATGCATCGCAGTGCTTCATCACATTCAGTATTCTTTTGAATACAAAATATATGTGGCACGTTGGGAGTTTGTACTTTTTTGATAGATGTTATTTTCCTTTTTACTATACTGACATTAACATCCGATAGGAAAGGTTTACCTAAACTGACTGACTGGTCTGTAACTGTATCCTCAACCACATGTAAAGTCACCTGCCGTCTGTCCCATTTCGTTTCTCATATAAAGTTTCTAATGAAGCCCCACGCAAAATGGCCTTTCTCTACGGTTGATAATTTTTGTTTTGGATTACATACATAATAAACGGACGGACGAAAAAATGAACGGACAGACCGAAAAATAAACGGACGGACGAAAAAATAAACGGACAAACCGAAAAATAAACGGACGGACGAAAAAATAAACGGACGGACCAAAAAATAAACGGACGGACGAAAAAATAAACGGACAAACCGAAAAATAAACGGACGGACGAAAAAATAAACGGACGGACCAAACAATAAACGGACGGACAAAAAAATAAACGGACAGACCGAAAAATAAACGGATGGACGAAAAAATAAACGGACAGACCGAAAAATAAACGGACGGTCAAAAAAATAAACTGACAGATCGAAAAATAAACGGACTGACCGAAAAATAAACGGATGGACCAAAAATGAAAGGAAAGACCGAAAAATAAACGAACGGACGAAAAAATAAACGGACGGACCAAACAATAAACGGACGGATCAAACAATAAACGGACGGATCAAAAAACAAACCGACAGATAAAAAATAAACGGACGGACGAAAAAATAAACGGATGGACCAAAAATAAAAGGACGGATCGAAAAATAAACGGCGGACGAAAAAATAAACAGACGGACCAAACAATGAACGGACGGACCGAAAAATAAGCAGACGGACCAAACAATAAACGACGGATCAAAAAATAAACAGACGGACCAAACAATAAACGGACGGATCAAAAAATAAACGGATGGACCGAAAAATAAACGGGTTGACGTAAAAACAAACGGACAGACCCACAATTTTGAGGGAGTAAAGTAACCGCGAGACTGCTTTAATACTTTTTAATAACTGAATAATAAAACTACATCAGGACTTCAGATACCAGCTTAAACGGCTTCGGTAAACGACTTTTGTACGGCACTTCTTCTGTACGTTCCTCGTCTTTCTCTTGTTCTCCTTTCTTCATTTTTCCGTCGCTAGGGGCATTGTCGCTCGCACCCTTTTGACTTGTATATTATTATGTTTATATTATATATAATTTATTTCCCCCTAAATTAATGCTATCTTAAAACAATTAATTTCAGTGCGTGACAGCTCTGGTCTCAGACTTTATTACACCCCTAATGTTAGACAATACGACAGCAGCATCCTGGTTGCAGGTGTCACCCCTTCATCGGTGCAACTCATTCCTCCGAAACAACCCATGTTCAAAAACACCGGCTATTGTGACAGCCAATGTACGAACTTGGTAGGTGGTATTGTGCAAAAAATAATTTTCGTTTGTTTAATTGGTTGTAATATTTCTAGATGTTCCCTGAGTCTGGCATTAAAATAGTATCAGTGGTTTTTCATACACATTCAGCAGGACGGGAAGTGAAATTGCAGCATGTCAGGGAAGGAAAAGAAGTCGGAATTATTGCAGAGGTAATTTTTTTTTAAATAAAACTACAAAACTACATATTAACTCTTTCTTTTTGTTTCAAACAGGATAATTATTTTGATCCGAGTTTTCAACAATCAAAGAGACTACTTAAAGAAGCTGTGATTTTGCCAGGTGATGACCTGCTAACAGAATGCACGTACAATACACAAAACAGGACAAGACTTACTCTGGTAGGATTTTAAATTTTATTAGCCCATAAATGTTTATGGATAAAAATATACCGATTTGTTTTCTTTAGGGTGGATACTCCGTGAAGGAAGAAACCTGCATGGCGTACATATTGTACTACCCAAGAACGGCATTTTCCAGTTGCACTAGTATAACTCCAGCTGATTTCTTTTTCAAAACTTTTGGCATCCATGAGTTTTACAACCAGGACATGGACGAACTTGAAAACCTGATTTTGGAATCTGAAAAACAGTATGTGTTAGTAATTAATTTAAATAAATTGACAAAAAGTTCAATTTTTTGTTTGTTTATAGAGTAGTGAAAACCGTAAGATCTAATGTTCCAATGCAGAGCTTGTTTTTCCGTTTTTCTGAAAAGAACGGATTCAACCTTGATTACACAAAGCAGTCTGAATCGATCTTAAAAGCAATGGCCGAACTGAATATGGACAATGATGATTCAATTTTTTCTAAATTGGTCATTTTCAAACCTGAAGAGTTTCAGAACAAGAGTGTGCTCAGCCACTTGAAGGATTTGCCCTGGGAGCAACAAGTCTTCACACAAAGAGTTGAAGAAATGTTGAACAGAGGGAAGCACAAGACCTTCTGTCGATTACAAAACAGTCTTCCCGCTATGGTATGTTGACTGAGTTAAATAAATAAAAATAATATTATTAACACAATCTTGTTTAATTTTACAGCCAAGCAGAATTTATAATTATCCAAATTTCACTTCACAAATTGAAAAATCCGTTCGTCACACTTGCAAAAGCTATTTTATCAACAATGGAAATATAATTTCAAGCACATTTGGTTTTAAGTTTATTATATCACAATTATTATTATTCTTATTTCTACTCAATTAGGATTTTCTGACAACTTACAGTTTTTTTATTTAAGTTCTGTTTATTTTATGTGTCGCCAAAGATTTTTGTATTAATTAATACTAAGTCATGGTCAGTCAATATTTCCTAAATTATTTTTTCGTTCAAAAAACGTTTTAAATTTTATATTTAACTTGTCTTGAAGCAAGATGTAGTCTTTGAGTGTATGTACATACGTTGTAAATAAAAAAAATCTGTGATATTTAGCAATTAAGCAAATAAAATAAGTTTTGTACCAGTTTTGTATTTTTATAGACAATAAATTTTAATTAATTACAAACGTTTCGTTCGTAACTTTATAATTTTGATGATCATGCCACATGGATTTTGATGCCAGTCAGTAACAAAAACGTAAATTTTGACATTTTCCCTATTCGAAAAGGCTTAATATTAAGTTCTCAAATTTGTACAATGTCCTAAGTAACCTAAACTTGATTTATTTTTCGAATTTCAAAAGCTCGTCTTAAGAGGAAGGATGAGGAATCACATTAAAATTAGTCGAAATTATGAATGATGGAGTGAATGTGGAGTTCAATCCTTTTTAAAAAAAAATCGTTCCTACTCATTTTTTAATGTGAGTAGGAACCATCTTTTTAAAAAAAGGATTAAAATTAGTCAGAGAATGCATTCAAAATCTCCAAAACATGGGAACACAACAACCTGATGATATCTTGGGTGCCAGGGCACAGAAGAATTTTGGGTAACGAAAAAGCAGACACACCGGCCAGAGGAGCATCTGCAAGACCATACATAGGCTCGGAAACTATACTTAGGATGACAAAAACAAATATAGAATCCTCCATCGCAAAATGTACCCAAGGAAAACAAACGGAGAAATGGATGAACTCTAGCGTGCTAGACATAGTAAACTTATGATGAAACAACCCTCACCAAGACTGGCAAAAGCACTGCTGCAATTGGAGAGGGCCAAACTCAGAGGATTGATAGGACTATTAGCCGGTCACTGGCTTCTGAGAAATCATCTACAACATGGGCGAAAATTATCAAAATTAATCAAAACATAACGATGATCCCATTTGCAGATTATGTAACGAGGAGGAGGAAACATCCACCCATATGAACTTCGAAAGCGAAGTAACGGTTCAATTGAGATTTGACCTAACATACAAAAATTGTAGCAGCGACAGTCAATGACCTGATACTTCTAAGAAGGATTGTGTCTATTGCACTTAACTAGGGAAGTAGGATGGTACAATAAGGCAGAAGGCTGCAGTGCCTGGGGAGCACAAACCCCGCTTCCTAGTATCCTCATTACCATTATCATTTACCCCTTCCCTATAAAGCAGTGATTATGAGATTTTGAGAAAATTACAATTTTCAGATTTTTTCATTTACTTGGTATATAAAACCATATTTTAGCAAATTTCACGTTTCTATCTATTCGGGAAGTACCTTATAATTTTAATAATCAGTGAGTCAGTCAGTAATAAAAATGCAAATTTTGAAATTTTCCCCATTCGAAAAGGATTGATATAAGTTCTCAAATTTTTACAATGTTCTAAGTAAACTAAGCTTGGTTTATTTTTCAAATTTTAAAAGTTCGTCTTAAGAGAAATGAGAGTGAGAAAAAACTGGGTGAATTGATTTGAGTAAACGTACACGTGGCAGCTTGCTGCAACTTGGCCAGGGCACTGCTGTGTGCTCAGATTTGGTTGTTACCAATCATTTTGGTTTGCCTATCCTTGCTGGTTTGGTCTGACACCTGTGTTTCGGCAGTTCTTCAGTTACCAAATTTCATTCATGGTTCATCACCCCAAAGTTTTGTAGTTTTAGAACATTTATTTTACAAATTGCTTTGGGACCATATTTGCCTGTACCCTTTGGCTATTGGTTGATTATGCTGCTTTTGGAATCATTGTGACCTACTAATTTTTCACATTTTAGCTGTAATGTTGTATTGATGAAGCAAGGTAATAACCAAAACAATTACATTTTTAGGGTGGTAATCCTGACATTGTCAATGCACCAACACCCAGTAATCCTGTTGACATTTTATTATCATACAGGAAAAAATTAATGACCAGTTTTTCTATTATTATATCTTATAGCTAAAGCCTAGATTTATACATAATAAAAATTCCCAAATATGCCATATATACAATAAAAAAAACTTCAAATATACCCTATAATTTGCTCTAAAATACTAAACATGGACTTTTTTCTTTTTGATCTAATACTTATATATTCATTTTGAAAGGAAATGGGACAGAAAAATGTTCATCCCACAAAAAAATTATATTTTTAAAATATACAAAATAAATAATTAGGTGAGAATGATGACCTTCTACAAGCTGTTTTTTCCTTTTGTGAATTTCTTTAATAGCTATGCATTTGGGGGTCATTTATTCTAGCCTCAATAGCTTATATATTTCCAAAATCGTCTAACTTCAACAGATTTTTTAAACGAATGATAGCAAAACGTGTGCGGTCTACGATAATTTAGAGTCGTTAGTGATGGTATAATTTTTAATATTTATAACTATTTTAGTCAATATATTCACCAACTCCCAATAACTCTAGCTAAAAGACAGTTTCCACAATGTTTCGCGAAAAATACGATTTTCCACCTAAAACCGCGTTACACGCTTTGCCGCTCGAGCTGACATCATTCATCATCGAATTGAAAAAGCTTTCTTTTCTTTAGGTCAGCTCACACTAATGACAAGTCTCTATGGGTCAGAAAGCTCGGCTTGCAATGGCAGCATGTTTGGAAAGTTGAATGAAATTAACTTATTATTTAAATAATTAATTCATATACTTTACGTTTAACTAATTTTGCTATTTGTTTGAGCTAAGCATACGGCAAGGGATTGTATCCTTCACTTTGATTCATAGGAAAAACTATTTTATAATTAAAGATGACTCAATTTTCAATAATCGATTTTTATGTTTTCAAAAATCAATAAAGTCCACTAATAAACCTAATAATTTCTAATAAATTTTAATTATTCTGAAATCGTGAAATGCGGTCTGTGATGTAGCTTTCAGAAAAACATTTTCTTTATCGTGCCAACGTTTCGATCTTTATTGAGATGATACAAACATTGTTTACATTTAACAAATACATTTAGGACGTGGAAAAGTGAATTTATACAATGCAAAATATATTTTTCATATTCAATCAAAGTACAATGTTTGTAAATCCCAGGCCCTGAAGATGATCTCAATAAAGATCGAAACGTTGGCACGATAAAGAAAATGTTTTTCTGAAACCTACAACAACGTGTTGTTCTCACGATTTCTGTATAATTATCGATTAACGGTCACTAATCACCACACAAATACATTTTAATTCAATTTATAATAAAAATAAAATAAAAATATTTGGGAAAGTAAATATTACAAAATGGGCAATATCCCTATTCACTTTTGAGCAGTTTATTTCCATTCTCAATGTTGTTATTGAATTGAAGATGGTTTTAAATGACAATCATGATAAGAGAAACGTGTACTTAACATAAACAATCTAAACAGAAATATTTATTTAAACAAATATACGTCATGAGTGATTCCTTTCATTTTTTATTTATTTGTTTAATCTTTTTGTTATTTCTTTATGTTTTAATGTTTATTGCGATTTTTACAACTGCGATTTTTACCATTTTACAAGCTAAATAAATAACAGACGGAGCGAAAATTAGCATGATAGGTAGGAGGCCTTCCACCACATTCAGCCAATCAATCTCAATCAATCTCTCAGGGATCTTTCGGCCATAACCTCTTCAAACGACGTGTTGGTTTCTAGGAATGTTGAGGCAAGAAAGCTGCTGGACAAGTGGATTGGGGTGAAGGTCTAAATTTTTATGGAAGTCGGACGCTCGAACGACTCTGCCACCGCGGTCCCCTTGGTTAGGACATTATCGTGCCCTAGAAAAGGGGCCCAGAATAAGGACCCCAACGTCGAAAGTAAAGTTCAATAAGTGCACCCACAGACTATGACACCTAATAATAATCTGCACAGGAAAGTTGAGTGCCGACTGAATAACAGAGATTGTTCCCACACAAGGGGTGAGACAGGGATTCTCTGTTCTCCAGATTCTGAATATGAGATCATAAGGCCAGCGGCCGTTGGACTCCATGGACAAAGACATCTCGAAAAGGGAAGAATACATTACCAACGTAAGAGTAAGGAAGGTGAAGGTCAAAACTCTCAACCAACCCCCTAGGGCAAAGAAAAACGGAGGAATAAAATTACACCAGTTCGTCCTAAAGGTACGTTTTCCTCGCTATGACTTTGCATTGATCGTTGTACGATGTACCATGATTCCAGGATAATTGAGTTTAATCTAATGAGATAAAAGTTAACCAGATGTAAAAGTTTGTTATTTAAATTTCTACAGGATGAAAAGAGAAAAAAATTTTTTGTACCTCCGGTCAGCATCTATGGCCATTACCGTCACCTCGCATATTAACTTTCTAGCATTTTTGGGGTGGAGGTGTGTTCGTTTGCTGTCCTCCACTTTGTTCCCTACTCTTACTATTACTTTTCTTTTCAAAAATCTATTCTTCTTCTTGAATCAATATATTTCTAAACGCTATACGCCTGGGATATACGCTGTTCGTGACCCAACCCTTAACATAATTCAAATACCCGTAAATTAGAGCACAAATTTCATACATATTTGGCTGGTTACCGAGGTACGCAATACTCAGTGAGTCGACTTCGGCCCGACATCATTCATTCACACCTACTAATAGACTATCTTCTTTCAATATACACTCCATTCTCGCTAATAAATACATTCACTCCAATAATTACTTTCAAGCACGCTAACTATATATAAGTAAAAACAATAGGGGTGACCACCGCGGTTTTTGAAATTACATCAGTGGTCTCCCCTCATCCACTCCAATAAATACATTCATACAGTACACACGCTAACTATATATGTCGGCGAGTTTAATTAAATTGACTCCTCCGGAGATCAGAGTATAAGAAAAGTACAAGGTATGAAACTTCCTATAGGACACATGAAACATAATGCGTAAAGCTTACCGAACTTTTCTTCCGCTAATCCTGATTCACCTGGATCTTCAAAGTCTTCTACCGCCAACACGAATCCTCCAATCTGTGCTAGGAAAATCACTCCGCTCTACTCGTTAAATGTAGAAGCCAGGTACAAACGGTCGTGCTCTAATTTTTGTATTTTGCCTGTACCATTTATTGCCCACCTTTATAGTGGTCATTACGTAAAATTTTGTCATTCATTCGCCAATTAGTGGCATATAAGGAACAACTTCTTTTGACAACAAATCTTCAATGTCAATGCTGCATAACCTGCGATGGAAGACTCTTCGGACATTTGTTCTGGGAATGTAAAGCACAGACCCCATATACACTTGACCAACAATGCTATGATTTTAGCCGAATCTGTATCATTTAAAACCACTTAAAAAAAAATTTGAGTCTTAAAAATGGTACAACTTAAAAAAATCAAACCACCGGAACGTTAGAAAGAAGCTTTGTGAAGGTGGCCATTCACGATCACTCCAAATGGAACTGCGCCAAGCCGCACAGCTCCATTTGGAGTGCCTGAAATTTGAGGGGGCATTCACGACCGCTCCACAGCAGGTCGCTCCGAATGTCAACCAATGAATTACCTTCTTAAAATGGATGACGATCTCTTGTGCTACTCTTCTGTTTATTTACATATTAAAAGCAAAAAATCGAAGAGGACATGGTGTAAGAAGTGGCTCCTGAACAGAAGCCGTAATACCCACATCAATTTGATGAAAGATCTTTCCCTTGAACCCGCTGATTGGAGGAACTATTTAAGGAACGTCTTATTTATCCATTATATTTAGTGTTCTATTGACCAAATTACTTCTTTCAATTATTTAATCTTTTTTGTAAGGTTTTGGTTGAAATGAAAAAGCCAGACTCCACAAAAGAATAAATAAAATAAAACAAAAATTGTAATAAAATTTCAATTAATTAAGTTTTTAGTTGAGATAAAAAAGTATATGTCACGAGCAGGATCTGAATCCATGGCCTTCGGCTAAATACGCCGCTGTTCTACCACTTGAGCTATCGTGACTTCGATCCTCTCCGACACCAAAAAATGGCACAAAGAGAGAAAATTCGAAAGGTTGTAGGTTGAGATGGGGAGTTGGTGCCCGAGTGGATCGAACTATCGAAGACAGGATAGCTCAAGTGGTTAGCGCAGCGGCGATTTAGCCGAATGTCGTGGATTTGAATCCCCTCGTGACACTATTGTTTCATTTCAAACAAAACCTTACAAAAAAAAGATTAACGTTTTATTTATATTTACTCCAGCTTGTTACCCCCTTGATTAAAAAACAAAAGACAGCCATGAGAGAAATCATCACTACATGAAAGGTTGGCAACCACATTACGATTTCTCCCTGCAGGGATGAACTACAAAGAACTTAAGTTCTCTACTACGATTTCTGATCATTGTTAGGGGTTATCAATACCGCATCTCTCATTGCATTTGTATCCTTTGTTTTGAAAACGTCGACCAACTGGTTGAGGATCGAATTTCTTTTATTTCTATCGTGGTAATATAATCATTGTCCACTACTTTCATAAACAGTAAACTTTCATACAATTTAATCACCTCAACAATAAAATCTCGATGAGATGTCATTACCAATAAAGAATAAACGTTTTTGACTTTTTGAGAATGTACGACTGAGATGTTTGCTCAGTGACAGAAAGACGGAGATTGCGCCAAAAAAAAAGAGGGTTTTCCCATTCACGACCAGGCCAGCGCGCCAAAATCCCCACCCTCCACGCCAGGTTTTCCCATTCACGAACCCGCCATGCCGTCGTCGCGCCTTAGATATTTGGAGTGGCGCGATGGAGTTTGGACCGGTCGAATATTCGGCACAGCCGGGCACGCCAGTTCAGGTTTGCTATTGACGTGTTTTTGGAACGGCGTCGCTCCGTTTGGTCTGCTAGGAGCGATCGTGAATGGCCACCTTTACAGAAAAATCAACAAAGAAGAGAATGACTATTCAAAGATTTATTTACAAAATCAAATTGTAAACACAGGTTGGAGATTTTACCTCCAATTGAAGTTGAAGATTTGAAAAATGGCAAAAAGGAGGGAAAATTCAAAAGGTGAGTTGAGATGTGAAGTTAGTGCACGAGTGGATCAAGTGATAGAGCAGCGGCGTATCTAGCCGAAGGTGACACTGACTTTTTTGTCTCAACTAAAAACCTTAATTAATTGAAGTCTAAAAGAATATTAAAATTACTAAGGGTGGCTACTTTTTGCCTATCAGTGTTTATTCCAATTTGCTGGAGGAAGGGATGTCAAATTGTTCTTTATTATCTTCATTATTTTCGACGAAAGGATAATTATTGAAATACTCTGATAAATAATCAACGGAGTTGTATTCCTGAAAGCGTTCTAGCGGTGTAAATAGAATATTACATTTTGGCCAAATAAGTTGTAGATGATGGATTAGAATAGCAATTTATAACAAATAAAGAAAACTTTAGAAACCAAGAAAGTGATCGGACTAATGCTTTAAATAATCAAGTCGACCTTGGTTCTGAGAAAGTCACGAACTTCTCCTTCGTTCGCGAATCCTTTCCTTTGGAGTTTTGCCGTTTCCGAAAAGACAGTTACGGCCTACAAGTGATCTAACAAAATGTGTGCCATCCGGAGCACAGGCGTCCTGGGAGGGGAAAGGAAGAAAGAAGGACGCCTCGGTCGGCGCAGTATTCGACTTGAACCTGCTAAGGCAATATGTCCTTCAAAGCACCTGCTTAGCCGATGATGATCTTCAGGCTTTGTCTTCTCGTGTTCGCAGCAAGCTTTTTGGCGCCGCATGTCATCTCGGCGGCCGTCGCCACCCCGAGGGACATCTCCATGGTCGCCGCCTTCTTTCAATGGTTCGAGACTGCCATGGAAATGGTTTTCGGCTATTTTATGGGATCAAGTGAGTAAATTTTATTTGTTCACCTTCACTAAAAAATGCCTAGAAAGATTTGCTTTTATTTTCTTCAAATTGAGCATTTAACATTTATGTACTGCGCCTGACAAAATTTTTATAAAACAAGAAATTTCTGTATTGGAGCAACTTTTACAGTTTTTTTTTTATTTTTTTAAATTTTTTTTTAGCAATATTGGGGATGATATATTTATCCAAACTATTTAGACAACTTATAGTTGTCTTTTAAAAAGTGTAAATGTTAGATGTATGAAACATTTATTATATCATTATCTGTATGTAAATTTCTAGAATTTTTAATCAAACGCATTTTCCTACTCGACAAATATAATGATGGAGCACATACAAAAATTGGAGATGTAGAACTGTTATTGGTATAAAATTAATTTAATACTTAATAAGTATTAAATTTTAAATTAAAATTTAACATTAAAAATATTTGTGTCTCTCTCAATTAGTTTATCTCTGACACACCCCTTCACTTTTTTACCCTCTGAGTGCCTCTGCTAGTCTGTCTGTCTCACCATCAATTTTTGTCCCTCGTTTTGCATTTTTCTTCACATTTGTAGTTTTGTCTGTCTGATATTCTCTTCCTTCTGTTTTAAAGAAATTTGAAGGCTGTAGTTTTACAAGTTAGATGAAATTTTGCAGGGAATTTATTCGTAGTTTGGTCAATCAACTAGGTTTCTAATTATAATGTTGTAATCCGGGTTTGGGAAAGACCAACGTACATAGTATTTTTTCACAATTAGGCAAATGAAATCTAAGTCATTTTTTTATACTGACAATACAAAACTAGTGTGTAGACTTTATTTAACTAATGGTAGATTTGATCGACCTTCTTTATTCCGAAGACTATATCAGTTTATAATTTCACACATTCTCTCAATTTATTTTGTCCTTCTTACATAAAGAAATTTTTTTCCTCCGCCGAAAATAGCACTGGAAAATAGAACTTCTGGCTTGAAAACTGGACGGGTGTCATGCCGCTTCTTGACAAATCCGGCTGACCGGAACCACTTCAACCTAGATGTGACCTCATAAATTATACTTTTAGGAAGTATGCACTCTTGCCCGAACCTGATTAGTTAAAGCAGGTTTATATCTAATCAGCTGTCACCCGTCGATAATGTCGTTAGCGAACTATTAATACAGGATTAATATTTACAGCCAAGGATAAAAATTAATGGAAATGGGACAAATGATTCTTCTCGGTTATTCATTTTTTTATTATACAGGAAAAGACTTTTAAAAATGTACAATAGCAAAAGTATACTTAGGAGTGATGAGAATATTTATATTATACATTCATTATAAAATATAAAATAGGTAATTAAAGAAATAACTGACTATTAGTACAATACAAGAATAAATATTTGGAAGTGTGAGTTATGAAAAAAAACATAACCATAAATATACGCAATTAACATAGTTGAGAGAATACAAACAAAAGTTAACTGAATAAAGATAATTAATACTAACACCCAATCTAAGTAGCACAACATAATAATATTGTAGATTAATAAAGTAATAAAAACGAACAGAGCTATGTGTACAGAACGATAATGAGAAATACATAAAATGGATATGGAAATACAATCGACTCTCCATAACTCGAATCTCAGGATAAAATTCTAATCAATTCGCCGTGTCATTTTTATTATATTTTTTGACAATTTTTAAAATTGTGATTCAAAAAGGATAGTTTGGAGTGTAGAATCACTAAAAAAAGTTTGATCCAAATCCGTGCTCCGTCAACTTGGTCGTCCCCTTATGGCTATCCTGAGGGTTTTTGATGATTTTATGAAGCTTCTAATCGTCGGTATGACTGATGAAATTTATATGAAATTGAATGAAATTGCTATTCTTATTACAATATTTCATACCATTAATATAAATATTAAATGGTAGGAGTGAAAGGTGTCCACCTTATGGTACACCTCACGTAGCTTGAATTGAACTGACTTTTGAAAAGAAGATCTTTATTTTGAATACTTGTTTCTGATTTAATATTTAAACCACTTCAATGACGGAGTAGTAAAGCCTTATCTGTAGGTAGAGTGTACGTTGTCTCGGCCAAATGCTTTAGACAGATCAGTATAGATAGTGTCCAATTGACAATCACTTCAGAATCTTTTTAAAAAGATAGCTCCTCACATGAAGTTATTTTCAACGATATGGATTTCGAGCCTATAGCTCATCATCAGGTTGTAGAACTCCTTCAACCTGATGATGAGCTGTAGGCTCGAAATCCGGATCGTTGAAAACAACTTACTGTGAGAAGGAGCTATCTTTATAAAAAGATTGAACAACACGCTCACTTTTCTATCACCTTAGAATTAATTAATTTTTGCAGTTTGAACAGGTGACGAGGTTTGATGTCACAAAACAGTGTTGCTCATCAAATATTCGAATAATTTGTCAATATGTGAAAGTTTGGAATTAGGGCAGTAGTTAGATGTAGATGAAATATTCGGGGTGTAATATACAGCGCCCTTTAAGACCTATTGTATCACTCCTTCCGTTCTCTGACTAAAGCACATCGGTGAATTCTATTTCATCAAGAATCTTGATTAATAGGCCCGGTTTCTGTGGTTGAAGCTCTTCTATGGTGACATTATACATCCCAAAACGCTTCCTCCATTTGTAGCACCGCAGTTTGTTAGTAGATGTGTTGGTGTCTCCTCTGCCTCTCTGCAGAATCTGCATGTGCCGTCTTGGATTATTCTTCATCTTCATTAAGTGTCCATTTAAGAATCCATTAGGATTCGCAGTTTGTTCATGCTTCCTTTGACATATTCCGTAATTTCTTTTCTTCCGGAATTTGTTAACATATTCGTGGATTACCTGTGTCCATTTGTTCCTTCAGTTTCTTTTTGTTTTTCTGTCTAAGATACTCATTAATAGTGAGAGTTCCTATGCCACAGAAGGGTTCGGGTTCTGTCAGCGGTGTAGCAGGCTCCTTGCCTTGCAAGGGTGTCCGGTTTCTCGTTGCTTTCTGCTCCCATGAGTCCTGGACTCAGTAGAGGCTGACTTAGTTCTGCGTACCTAATATGTTTAATTTGATTTTGCAGTTCAGCACCATCCTTGAACTAATGATATTTGAGCTTAGTGCTTTGATGGCTGCTTGGCTATCTGACATGATAGCTATATTCTTGTTTTTATACCCTTTATTCAGGTTGAGTTAAGTACATCTTCGCGTGAATCTTAGCTTGGAAGACATGGGTTCTAACTATTTGGTTCCACGTCAGAATAATTCTGCCCTACCTTCTTGTGTTCTAGATCCATTTGTGTACCAAAGGATGGTGCCATTCTTAAAGGAGGTGTTTCCCCTCTCGTTTAGGACAGGAGTTAGATTTGATGAGTAGAGTAGTTAGAGACGCAATTATAGAGGAACTAGATTTTTCTTTTTTTTTAAATAGTTAAAAATCGCAATTTGTAAGATTATATAACATTTCAAAAAAGGCAAATTTCCTAAAAACAAAGTAAAGGCAGATCCAACTCATCCTTAATACAAGCAGGTGGAAAAGCGAGTGACAAGTATTGTTGAAATAGAGAAATCGAAAAACATACTGTCACTTGGTTATATACTACATAATTCACTAGTTTTCGTAGTCCGCTTGACCAACTAATATCTTTCAATTAATTAAACTGTAAGGTATTGGTTGAGATAAAAAAGTCAGTGTCATAAGCGGGATTCGAACCCACGACCTTCGGCTAGACACGCCGCTGCTTTACCACTTGAGCTATCGTGACTTCGATCCACTCGGACGCTAACTTCCCATTTCAACCCCACCTTTTGAATTTTCCTCCTTTTTGCCACTTTTCAAGCCGAAGGTCGTGGGTTCGAATCCCGCTTGTGACACTGACTTTTTTATCCCAACCAATACCTTAAATACAGATTAATTAATTGAAAGATACTACATGATGTGTAGAGATTAGTGACCGTTAATCTATAGTTATTCAGATATCGTGAGATGCGGTCGGGAGTCCCGACCGCATCTCACGATATCAGAATACTACATAATATTTTACATCGTTCAGGAAAATGTTCAAAAATCTGAATAAGGAAGATCTTGAAAAGTCCTTTCATATTTTAATCCTTTAAACAGCCTGACGTCTTCATTAAAACAAACAAATGTGATCAAGGAGGAGCAAATGTTTACTGGGAGAAAAAAACCCAGTCGATCCTTTTTCTAATGAGGGATCCGCCTAATGAGCCAGGTAGGAGTAGGCGGAACGACCTGACTATTAGTTGATTAACAGTGCACGTACTGGTCACGACCATGTTGCAGAAACCATTTGGGATATTCGGGTCAGGACTTGCCCCAACGTACAATTGAGGAATTTATACAAACCAAACGGGCCACCAACGGTTTTTAATAATGACTTCCGAAACGACTCCCTTCTGGTTCTTTCCCTATGATTTTTGCACGATCTGACAGGTCGTTCGAATTAAATACTGTGTCGTTAATTATATTCTTTATGTTAGATTGATTACGATATTTTTAAAATTATTTAAGTTTAATTGAAAAATGGTATGTAACGATTAGGCTGGCTAAACTTGTCACTGTTGAAAAATGCACGTTCCTTCTAGAGTCATAATCATATCACAAAATAAAGAGTTAAGTAAAATTAAGTACATCAATATAATTAAAACCTTTCTCGTTTATAATCACTCTGTGACAATTGCTTAAAAACCACAATGCGATCAATTCGCACATGACCCAGTTTGTCGGATTGTACCTTTCGGCATGAAATTAAAAAAATACTGCCATATGTGTGTCAAAGCAAGTTGACGGTTCCTCAAGTGTAAAAAGATAAATATAGACTTTTCTTTATTAATTACACATATTGTAAAAGTCACCAAGTTCTAGATGTCTCGTAACATTAATTAAATTTTATATTTAAAAGTTGTACGGAGGCTTTTAAGTTAACCCCCAAACGCCGGAGAGTTTAGTGTGATATCGAAAATTTGTCTATATAGCGCGTAAGTAAAAAATTATTTTCAAATTTGTGAAAGGTCCCTTTTGTGTATTGTACATACTGAATCTAAGACATGTCCTTGTGGCACTCTTACTTTCCTTCTTGCTTTTTTTCTTGCGTAGTGCTTCACTCCTTTCAACTATAAATTTCTTGATAGTGTAAACCAGGTATTGGTAAGGTAACTAACCAATACAAGACGAAGATTTAATTCAATTATAGATTATAATTTGCCAGAAATCGTAACTGACCTAACAAGAGCAAAATAGATACGCTATATATGTACTCATTATGTCACGGGCATTCCTGCAACGTGGTTAATGTCATAGGATGATCGACGTCATGGAAAAATGGGGATACATCGACACATTCACCTACGAACAGGCAAGGTCCTGTGTACCCTTTTAAAGAAAGTGCTCTTTTTTATCCTGCGCAACTCTAAATGATTTTATATCTATGTGTCTCTGGGTACTCATATTTCCAGTAGTTCGTCGTTATGTTAGTTGTTCCCCGTCTGTTTGATGACCCTTTTTTGTAAGCACTGTAGTTTTAGTGTCCTTATTGGGAGCTCACATCGGCACGTGTGTGAATTGAGCCCCCAGTGTCCGGCGTTCTTCCATCGAAGAAACCTATTTTGGAAGGAGGTCAGCACCGAATTCAGGATCGCGTAGGCCTGATCCCGTCCCAGACATTCCATTGATGAGTGCCGTTTGTAAACTTTCATTGCGGCCACCTCTCCCCTTAACGTATGAAAAACCCAGATATGACGGTAAGAATCGAACCATAAACCCAACACGGGACTACAAGCCGAGAGTCTGACTCGGCTTCCGCGGTCTTCTGAGACTACCATACTGTCAACATTATTTGTTTGCATTAGGATTCTGTTTTGGCTCGACCAGGTTTTCCAGATGTATATCGATTTTCATACACTTTCTATTCGTTATTGCATGTTGTTGACAGGTATAAGCAAGGCAACTCAAATAAATTTACATTTCAGCTACTTAAATCCATACAACTCATGTAGGACAGATACTTTCGAGTTTTTTGTGGTTTGATTGGATTTTCGTCTACACCTTCCTTAAAAATCTATCGACGTTGAAACTCTTCCGAGAATTGGTTTTCTCTGTGATATCTCCTGAAGAAAACTTTTTGACCTACATAATTCTTTCTTTAGGATTTAATTGCTAGGGTTTAGACAATAGAAATGTTGAGTTTGAACTAATAAAAAATGCAGTGGAAAATCATGTGTATCGACTATCACGAAATGCAATTAAAATGTGATTATGAAAGAAAACAACAAACAGGGTTGTTATAAACTCTATTAAGACAAATATTAGTCCATAAATATTTGGCAGGAAAATACACTTTAAAGTGTTATCATAAAGAGAGTAGACATTTCAAGTGGGACAATCTAATAGATTTTATTACTTCTTGACTAACTAGATAATAAGAATCCCAACAAAAACCTAACCATGAAAAAAGGGTTACGTTCCAAAACTCTTACAAAAAAAAAGGATCCTATCAATGTGATGACATCTACAGTGGTCAAGTCCGTTTTATTTTTAGTTCATAACCGGAATGAACTAAAAAAAAGGTAAAAGTTCCAGACTCCCTCCCTAAAAAGTCATCCTATCAAAGTAGTGATATTGTGTTTTTAATGTTAGAAATATCACTACTTTTTCACTCACGAACACTCTGGTTCAAGGTATATTCTTGAGGGAAAAAGCAAATTCAGTAGTTAATACCAAGCATTCGACTTTCAGGTCATTATCAGGACAAAACAATCTTAAATCTATAGATTGGCATATTTAGGTTTTTATAAGCGACCTAAAATTTCCTTGAAGACCGACTCAGACCTAACATTGCAAGGACTGTAACAGTGAACATTGTGGCCAAACTCACTTTCACTACTACTTTTATGAGCGACCTGTTCTTTTAACTTAACACTTGGCCAGTTGCTGAATAAGGATTAAACCATCAGGACCGGGTGTGCTCACATGTTGTTGGTGAAGGGAAGTTAGAGAACTCAGAAGAAAAGATAAAATTTCCAGACTTCTCATTGCTCATTCAAAAGCTGGCCAACTGTTAAGCAATAAAATTAGAAAAAAACACGTGTATAGTTGAAAGTTATTGAAAACCAACTGACAAAACCAATGATCGATACGCTCCAAAAGAGTTCTAATTTTTCTAAAAATATCTCAAGTTTTAATGATTTATTAATTAAATCAATGAAATTTACTTGTGACTATTTTTATTTAAATCACTCACATTATTGCATAAAATGTTAAGGTTGTTAACAGGAGACTGTTCTTTGTCCTTTTGGTGATGTATACTTGTTATTAGTTCGTTGTTCTCTTTTGCCAGTTGAATTAAGTCTGCACCTACCATCTTTATACCACTTGCCAGTAGATACATTTACCGTTCTACCAAAAACAGTCCTTGCCACAAACACTCTAGCATCTTTCATTCATCCTCAGTACCATCTGATATTAAACGTCCTATATGTTTTCCTATTCGCAGAGCCAAACGCTGAAAAGGAAAGGAAGAAAGGAACGACCAGGGAGTCTAGAGTTTCCTACGATAACTACCACGTCCTCAGGGTGATCCCAGGGAGCGACCAGGCCGTTCAAGAATTGGAGATGTTACTGGATGAACCGGGGCTCGACTTTTGGAACCCTCCACTCAAAAACAGAACGACTGATCTTCTAGCACCACCCGACCTCGCGGACTATCTAAAGTTGTACCTTCAGGAGAGGGAAATCCCATTTTCAGTCCTCACCTCTAACCTACAGGTAAATCATACTTTCACCAAACTTTCTTAGAATAATAATCGATAGAGTATCATTCCAACTACGGTTTTTGAAACATCATTTTAATATTTTTGAATATTACGTGATGTGATTCGTAGCACAATTGTCCCCCTAGAGTAACTTGTACCTACTAAGTCAGTTAGGATAAGATAGGATGTTAAATTCTCTTCCTCTGATGTAAGTTGTAATTTTGTCCGAATTGTTTTCCCAACTCTGGAATAGCACGAGGAAAAATAAAAAACAACATTAAATAGTAAGAAAAAATCTAAACGTATGTCCGACAAATATAGCAAGAATAGGCTAACCAGGATATTCAAGAAACGTCTCTGAAGTTAAAACTATTGCCGAAAAGATTAATTCTACTTAGAATAACTTAAACTTTGTTGAAAAAAATTAAGACTTTTAATCATAAATACGATTATCGTAAAAACGGATGTAGAGGCAGGCATTTAAAGCATTTCCTGTCAAAGGATACAAACAGAGGCCTGCTTTCTCTTTTCGTGATCAAGATCAAGGTCTTCTCCGGCCGATGATCCGCCGTCCCATAGATTCCGGTATCGATATTCTACCGATTGTTGCCATTGTTTTATCAAATTAATTGACGACTTGCAAAAGATCAACTGTCGCCATTGGGGGCAGAAGAAAGTACTGTCTATAGCTATATAACGTAACAGTCAGTCTGGTTTTGCCTTCGTACCCTGCTGAGGCGGACTTCATTTGTAGCACGCTACATATTACATATAATACATTCAGACAACAATTAAATAAATTTTGAAACATTGAAGAAGATAAGAATTAAAAAAATACCAAAACGGATACAATAATAATACACAATTAAAATACAGTCGTACAACGTAAAATTTTGAATGATACAAGAAGTAGAAATTCATTCTAGTACTTATTTAATAAATTAAGTACCGATTAATCAAGATCTATAGAATTCATGATTTGGTAATACACATTAACTTCATGAACGAGCCGATTTAGCTGAAGTGACGGCCGAAGGACAGGTTGAAGAACAAGGCTCGAAATTAGAGGAGCTTTTGTTTGAGGACATTGTACTAATACATCTGACAAGATTTTTACGTTATATTCGTTTATTGAAAATAAATTAAGCAAAAAAATGCGAATTAAGCCACACATTTGCTTTGGTAGGCTATAGGCGGCAGAGCTGGGATCATATAAAACAAAACGAATCAGAGGTGCTTACCTACCTGATAACCACTCAAATCTCATTCTCAGAAGTATATAAACTCAAATTATTTTGTTTTCATGTTAACACTGAAAACCTATTCACATTTTTCTTTACCTTTTCAACTATGAAATGACTGTACATATGTTTATATACCTTTTCAACTATGAAATGACTGTACATATGTTTATATACTTCTGACTAAAAATCAGTAAGTACAAAAATGTGTGCCATGTTCTTATACACACACACACACACACACACACACACACACACACACACACACACACACACACACACACACACACACACATATATATATATATATATATATATATGTGTGTGAGTGTGTGTGTGTGTGGTGATTAGTGACCGTTAGTCGATGATTATTCGGAAATCGTGAGATGCGGTCTGGTGTGACGTAGGTTTCAGAAAAACATTTTCTTTATCGTGCCAACGTTTCGATCTTTATTGAGATCATCTTCAGGGCCTGGCCTTTACAAACATTGTTTAAATTTAACAAATACTTGTAGGATATGGAAAAACGTGAATTTATACAATCAAAAAATATTTTTTATATTCAATCAAAGTATTTCTACTCACTCAAAGTGTTTGTTTTCTGCGTACGCAAAGATCGAAACGTTGGCATGATAAAGACAATGTTCTTATATATATTTGATTTTAAATTGTTCAAAATTAAAATGTACAATATATTCTTTCGTAGAGCCCTGAAGAAGGTCCAATAAAGTTCCGAAAGCTAGGCGACATTTAAAATGAAAAATATTTTATTTGACCATGTCCTTGGCAACAACCTAGAGAACATTATAATGACATTTAAGTATAAAATATTGTTATTGTTGCTAAAGATTAATATTGAAAATTTAGTATTTTTTATTTACGATACTTCAAGTACTTAAAAGATGTGTGTGGTGGTTAGTGACCATTATTCTACAATTATTCCAAAGTCGTGAGATGTGGTCTGGTGTGATGTAGGTTTTAGAAAAACATTTTCTTTATCGTGCCGATTTTCTCTCAACACGACACGCAAGAATGGCACAATTACACAGAAGACAAACACTTTGAGCCCTGAAAATGATCTCAATAAAGATCGAAACGTTGGCACGATAAAGAAAATGTTTTTCTGAAACCTACATCACACGAGAACGCATCTCACGATTTCTGAATAATTACTTAAAAGATCTTTTAATTTCCAAATATATATTTGGTTTTATAAACTAGGCTTGAAAAGCAATTTTAAGTGTTTTTTTGCTTCCAAAAAAATTTGCGAGAGTACGCCACAAATTTAAAATAACAAATTTCCTACTAACTGTACTGTGGCCAAGGAAAACGTTAGACCGAATCGGATTGATTTTTCTGCGGTTTGTCTGTCCGTCGTAACGGATCAGTTTGTTTGAATGACTGTTCTCTCTGGATTTTTTGGTAAGCCTCAAAAGGATGAACTGTACGTCTAATACTAAAAATCGAAAAGGCTTGATTTGATAACATCAAATTATGTTATGAATGGATCATTTAGCTCGGCCATGATTCATTTATGACTTTTTCTCATGTGTGTCATATTTCTGGATTTCGGAGGCGGTCCTCATGGTCTAATTGTTTCAATGCACCGAAGCGCTTCACCCATTTTTTTAGAATGTCGTCGCTTTAATCTACACCACTGTCCTACTGTTGAAGTTGAAGTACACAGTTTTTAAAATACACAAATCGCATAAAATACGCTGAGGAAAAATAATAAGTAAATTGTCGTAGAAAAATATAAACTGCTCAAAAATGAATAGGGATATTGCCAATTTTGTACTTTTTACTTTTCCTAAAAATTTTATTTTATTTTTATTATAAATTGCATTAAAATTTATTAGAAATTATTATGGTTTTTACTGAAGTAAAGTTAAGGAAAGGAAAGATTGTTTCAATTTCCATAATTTTGTTTATTGGACAGAATAATTTTTTTAAACAATTAATACCGTATCTAATGTTCTCCAACCTCTGTGCACCTGTTAGGCATACTGTTGGTAGGTTGTCACTAATTTCATAAGGAATTTCACTTCATAGATGTTGCAACGCTGCAGTCAGTTGTTGCAGATCATCGAAAAGCCTTCTCTGCAAAGCGTCCCACATGTGTTCAATGGATCGTCATAACGGACTGCGGTGAGGTTGCATTCAACAATATTGAGTCCAGTTCGTCCTCCAGTGTAAATCCCAGCCCAGATCATTTCACGACGATGTTGCAACGCTGCACTCAGTTGTTGCAGATCAACTGGCTGCGGACGGGGATCGAAAAGCCTTCTCTGGAACGCATCCCACATGTGCTCAATGGGTTTAAGGACTGGGGAAGGGCAGATGGAAAATTTCCCGGTTTTCTAAACATTGATGAACTATTGTTGTCATCCAGAAATCGAAATCCCTGCCAATGAGATCCCTGGTTTGAAGGACGTATTCCTCGATAATTACTCGGACATAGCGGACTGCGGTGAGGTTGCCCTCAACAATATAGAGTCCAGTTCATCCTCCAAAGTAAATCCCAGTCGTGACCATTACACTGCCTTTTCCAAACTGTACGGAAAGGAGCTGGAACTGAGGCATGGTACGCATCCCCGTTCTTGGTAGATTCTTCGGCGCCTGCTATCACTAAACAGAAACGCGACTCAACAGCAAACAAAACAGCATTTCTATTTGTGTTCGCTTCTAGGCGCTGTCTGCACCATACTCTCCTGGTATTGCTGGTGGCGGGCTTATGCTGCAGGTCGGCTCACAGAGGAATAGGATGTGCGGCTAACTTCCGAAAACGATTAATCGTTTGTGTTGATAAAGGCCTTGTCAAAACATCTTGTACTTCATTTAGGATCTGGCGGGCACCATGGCAAGGGTTCCATCTTGCAGCAATTACAATATTTCTGGCCACCCTTACCGTCGTAATCCGCTGAGATCCAGTCCTCCTACTGGCACTTCCAGTCTCTCGGAATCGGGCTAAAGCCCAGGAGACCGAGTCCTTTTGATAAAAAGAATAATTAATTTAAATAATTAATATGTCAATTATAAATACTCAATTCACGTATGGATCGATATAATAATTTCAATAATCTTAACGATTAATTTTTATTAATTTAATCGGGTACAATAACAAAATTTATATTTTAGTTGATAATAGGGATTACACATGAACGATTAATTAGGACAATGGAATGTAATTTGGAAAACAAGTGGTATATTGTTGACATCTTCAAAATAATTTTTAACACCAGGTATTGGCACCTGTGGGATAGCTAGCCAAATTTTGTGATGTAATCAAGTTGAGTTAAGAAAAGTTAAGAAAAAAAAGAAATCAACCAATATTTTATTTTAACAGGCTGACATGAAAAATCAGAACCCAACACAAATAAATCGATCGACACAACTCAAGATTGAACAAGGACATCCCATGTCTTGGGAGCGATACCACCGATACAAAGGTAAAAATATAACCATTAAATTTATAAATTAAATAATCAATGGCTACTTACGTAAATAAATAGACATTGAAGCGTATCTGGACTATTTGGGCAAGACAGCTTCGGAACTTGTCAAAATAATAAAAATTGGGAAGTCGACTGAAGGTCGAGCACTGAAGGTGGTGAGGGTTTCAAGTTCGAAAGGCAAGTCTGCGAATCCTGCCATATGGATTGATGGAGGTATCGGATATTAAATATCAATAGGATTATGGGTCATGTATATATCAAGGTGATGTGTTTTGTGTTTTAGGCATGCACGGGAGAGAGTGGATTGCTCCAGCGACTGCTCTCTTCATTCTCAAGCAACTTGTTGAAAATTACAAGACTAACAGAGCTGTGGTTGACGGAATTGACTGGTACATTATGCCCGTGGCCAATCCAGATGGTTATGAATACAGCCATTCTACTGACAGGTTTTGGAGGAAAAATCGTTCAAAAGCATCAAAAGATATTGATGATTATGATGATTATGGTGATGAAGCAAGGTGGTAATACTATATAAACAAAATATAAATGTCTTTTTAATTTGAATAGTAAGTGTTTTTTAATAAATAACTTTGTTTTTTCTAGATTTTTTTGGGATGATGTCAAAAGATGTGAGGGTGTTGATTTAAATAGAAACTTTGATTTTCATTGGGGTGAAGTAGGGATGAGCAAGAACCCTTGCAAATCGACATACGGCGGTCAACATGCATTTTCTGAGCCAGAATCTAAGGCTATATCAGACTTCATAATGCGGCAGGGAGATCAAATCAAGAGTTACGTGACTCTGCACGCTTACAGCCAGATGATCCTCCTGCCCTGGGGGTTCACCAAGCAGACTCCGAGCGACCACTCTGATCTCATGTACGTCGGGCGGAAAGCGCTTGACGCTCTTCAGAAAGTTTACGGTACCAATTACGAAATCGGTACATCACCGACTCTACTTTATCCCACGTCTGGTACGTATATTTGAAGAAGTTTTCCAAACAGTTTAATTCAACACTTTGATATTGCAGGGAGTTCGGATGATTGGGCAAAAGGCAAAGCAGGAATTAAATACAGCTACACGATTGAACTGAGGGACAAAGGGAAGTACGGTTTCCTTCTTCCGGCATCTCAGATATTACCAACAGGGAGAGAAACTTTTGCAGCAATTAAAACAATAGCAAGACATGTCACACTGGAATAACATTGATATAAACTGATTATTTTTAATCATAAACTGTAGTATATGTAAAATATTAAATTATTTTTTATTATATTTTTCATTAATTGAAAATAAACCCAAACTAATCTGTTTTAAATGTTGTCAAACTGTACAACATTGCATGTACTTTCTAGTTTCTAACAAAGTCTTGTGAAATTGGAAGCGATAGACTGCCAATCCTTGGAAGGGAACACGCAGTGAGTTTGCAAGGTTGGAATATTTTACAGTCTAACCATGCATTAAATTAAATATAATTAGAGTATGTAATACCGTTTAAATTAATTTCTCCAATGTATTGAGATTCCCATTTAGACAAATATTCACAAGCAGAAAGGATTTTAAATTCTTACAATTTATTTTTTTAATGTGTGGTGATTAGTGACCGTTAGTCGATAATTATTCAGAAATCGTGAGATGCGGTCTGGTGTGACGTAGGTTTCAGAAAAAACATTTTCTTTATCGTGCCAACGTTTCGATCTTTTATTGAGATCATCTTCAAAGCCTGGGATTTCAAACAATGTTTACATTTAACAAATACATTTAGGATGTGGAAAAATGAATTTATACAATGCAAAATATATTTTATATTCATACAAAGTATTTCTACTCACTTTGACAAACACTTTGAGTGAGTAGAAATACTTTGTATGAATATAAAATATATTTTGCATTGTATAAATTCACTTTTCCACATCCTAAATGTATTTGTTAAATGTAAACATTGTTTGTAAATCCCAGGTCCTGAAGATGATGTCAATAAAGATCGAAACGTTGGCACGATAAAGAAAATGTTTTTCTGAAACCTACGTCACACCAGACCGCATCTCACGATTTCTGAATAATTATTTTTTTAAATCTACATATTAATTGAAAATCAATGCTGCTTTACTTTGTAAAATTATGTCAATTCTGTGAGTCACTGGAGTGTTAACATTAAGGTAAGTAATATCGTATTCAACAATGCTTCTGACCTTAGAAGGAAGACCAGGTTGGTGGGTCACGAATTTGGACCAAACTTTTTTTACACTTCAAAATACAGGTTACTTCTTGTGAATAGGCCTTGGTGGGCCAAAAAGAAAAAAGTTGAAATTTTCCCTTTTTAATATTTTTATTTCGCCGTTCTACTTGCTCAATTCAACTATGTGAATACATCATGTTACACCATTTTTTAAATATAAATTGTAATAAAAATGTAGTAAAAGCTGTCAAAGTTTATCTATAACCGAAAGATTTCTAAAACACCAAATATTTTTCATGTAAACTAGAATAAAAATTTTTTCATGCAACTATTGTAATATAAAATTTCGTATTAGCACCTCTAGAAACCCATAAATATAAATTTTGGTTGAATTTAAATTTTTTGACATTCCTAGTGAAAGCTTTAACATCGTTTTTCTGAAAATCTATTTTCATGGTTTTTTAATTCGTTTTAAAGGAATTGTCGAGTAAATTTTATAACTATATCGAACATTAAAATCGGATTCTTATTTCTATTTAAAAATGAGGTTAATTTCTGAAAAATAATTGGGCTATTTTGTGCTATTTTCTTATAGAAATATTTTATATGTTTTAACAGGATATACATCTTTAAAAAGCTATATTCTTCTTCTTTCAAATTTTGATTTTTAAAATCCTTTAAGCTGTTTTTGAATTATAGAAGTTTCAATCAGATATTTCAATAACTACTTCCTCAAAAATTGGAAATTTTTTAGGGGTAAAAAAATCGATAAATTTAATTGAAACAAAAAATTATCTTAGAGGTCAGATCTCAATGGTTTAAATTGAAATGTCTTTTTAATTAATTAATTACTAACAATTAGTTTTTGATTTTGTGATAGAAATGAGAAAATTGTTGTCTATTATTGATCATGTCCAAGTCGCCGTGATTTCTTGTTTAGGCATTTTTTCCTTTTGTTTGTATGATATGATATTAATTGATTGATCGTTAAAATTTTTGAAGTGGACCAATTAAAACTGTTAAATTATTTATTTAACCTACTTCTTGATGATTAGTAATAAATTAGGGTATCTGCAATTAGACAAAAAAAAATGAAAAGATCAAGCTTTGTTCAATTTGAAAAGTGAACAGATTATTAGAAAATTTTCTTATTTTATCTTGTCCAAATGCCATGTACAGATTAACAGATATTCTTTTAATCTGTACTATTTTCTGTTTTAAATTTATTGAGTAGAGGAGTGCGTTGAGAGAAAGGAAGAAAGTCGCTATCGATAGAGGAAAAGAGTTTACAATTAGTACGTGATATTTGTCGTTTTTTATCTCGAGAGGAGGTAGGTATTTAAGTGTGTTTGCCCCTCGATCCGGCCTTTTATCGTAATGGAATCCGTAGTGAGAGCAGTGAGCATGGACGAAGAGGCGCACCACGACGCCATGGTGGCCAAAGTCGCTTCGGCCTTCGTCCTCGGCCTCTCAGCCCTGACCTGCTCCTGCGTGCCGTTCTGTCTGATCCGGAAATGCAGCAGCTCCAGCACGGGGAAAATCAGCACCACCGCCCAGAAGACGATGGACATGTTGCTCCGCTTCGGCGGAGGGATCCTCATCGCGACGACGTTCCTCCACCTCCTACCGGAAGTACGAGAAGGCACCGAAGAGCTCGTCGAGACTCACGCCTTTCCGACGTGGCCTGTCGCGATACCGGAGCTGGTCATGTGCATCGGTTTCTTCATTATGTACTTCGTAGAGGAATGTGCCCACATCTGCCTCATGAAAGGAGGAAATCACGGGTAATTTTTCACATCTTATTTTCAAATATTCCTTTCTCCAACCTTTGTGAGTTCGGAAAATTGGTCTAAATTTAATTTAGCTCTTGTTTACTCAATGATTACCGGATCATGTTCTTATCTGAAATAAAACGGGTTTAGAATCCGAATCGTTAAAAACCATTTAAAAATGCATTAAAATTTCTGGTAAATCGAAATTATTTCATTTTTACAATTTGATTTTAGCAACCATACTGCCAGATTAGATTATAGATCTATACTGAACGTATAGAAAAACAAATAATAATTAAATCGAATCTCAAAACAGGTCTAACGAGAGGACTACCAAGTTGGTCGGTCAAGGATTTGGACCAATTTTTTTGGTTATTCTACACCCCAAAATATCGGTCTCATATAGGCCACTTCTTGAGAATAGGCCCTGGTTTGGCCAAAAAAGTTAGAAAGTTGAAAATTTCCGTTTTTTAATGTTTTTATTTTGCCTTTCTACTTACGCAAATCAACTGTATGAATATATAATTTTACAGCGTTTTTTTAAAATGTAGATTGCAATAAAAATATAAATAATATTAATTAATAAAATAAAGTAAATACATAGTAGTAATAGTAATAATGTTCTATATAATATAGATAAAGCTATCAAATTTTTCAAAAACTAAAAAATTTCAGGCAAACTAGGTCATCATTTTTTTCTCTTGAAAGTAACATGAAATTTCGTTTTAGCACCTCTATCGATCCCGAAATATAAATTTTTGTTTGAATTGAAATTTATCGATTTTTGGACCCCTAAAATTTGTCGTTATCGGGATATAAGTTATAATTCAAAAACGTTTAAAAATAATTTAACGTCAAATAAAAATTTGTACGAAGCCGAGGGTAGGTTTTTAACGCTAGAATTACGAATCTGAAATTTCGACCATTTTCTGGCTAACTTTGATTAGAGAAAATTTGTTATAATATGCAAAAAAATCAATATTTTTATGATTTATCTTTTTAAATCATACCAAATTAAAATATTCTGCGTTGTAGAACTTTTGTTTTTCTTTTAATCAACAATGAAATGAACACAAACAAAGTAATACATGGATAGTGTTTTAGAAAGATATATAAAAAAGATAAATGACATGCTGCATATCTCCTTATATTAGGTATAAGTTAAAAATCCTGTTGCATACAAAAATGTAACAATACCATGTACTTGCGTAAAAATAATTATAAAAAAAACTATTGGCAAAACAAAAATATAAGTATCATAACATGGATGTATAGAACATATAAAGTAAATAAAGACCCATTTAGACCTATTATTAACACAAGTAGATCCCTATATATAACACCTCAAAACTTATTTTAGAAACTCTAACACATATACAGGGTGTCCCAGTTCCTTCTGACGAAACTCAGGGAATCGATTCTACTCTTCGTTTGGAGCAAAAAATGCTCAGGAGAAAATTTTTGGAAAGTTCTCTATTTTGAAGATATTCGTCAATTTAGGTTTTTTCAACTTTTCACTACCTTACCACATAAAAGCGCTTACAACTTCCAAAATGTTGAGACTACAATAAATCCAATTACACCATTTGAAAGAACGCTAAATTGGCTGTAAGATACTTCTTTGCAATAATCTGAATGACGTAAAATGTTAACCAATATCAGTTGGAACATGTCAAATTACAAAATTTACAATTTTGGTCATGATTGCACGTTCTACTGAGGTTACAAAAAAATACCTATAACTTGTCAAATTTTAGAAAAACTTCTTCATCTAATATGCTTTACGTTGATATATCCAGCTACCTTAGCTCACGTTTTCGAACATTCAATTGTTATTTTTCAACTTTACTAGAACGTTATTTAAAAACCTGAATATATCAACGTAAAGCATATTACAATAGATGAAGAAATTTTTGTGAAATTTGACAAGTTGTAGGTATTTTTTTGTAACCTAATTTTAAATTTTGTAATTTTGACATGTTCCAACTGATATTGGCTAACATTTTAAGTCATTCAGATTATTGCAAAGAATTATCTTGCAGCAAATTTAGCGTTATTTCAAATGGTGTAATTGGATTTGTTGTAGTCTCGACATTTTGGAAGTTGTAAGCGTTTTTATGTGGTAAGGTAGTGAAAAGTTGAAAAAAACTAAATTGACGAATATCTTCAAAATAGAGAACTTTCCGATAATTTTCTCCTGGGCATTGTTTGCTCCAAACGAAGAGTAGAATCGATTCCTTGAGTTGCGTCAGAAGGAACTGGGACACCCTGTATATATACATTTATACAGCCTGTATAAGTCGAACATAAAGAACTCATATGAGACAAAACATTTCTTGAATCACCAAAAATAGAGAGACTACACATACCATTATTAGAATCCGTTAACTTAATAACAAAAAACTAAACCACACAGAAACCTAAAAATGAATTTTTCAAAATTTCAGATTTAGCTTAAACAACTCATATTTTAAATTTAACAATAAAATATACAAACAAATTAAAGGCTTACCTATGGAAAGCTGTTTATCCCCAGTAATGTCTGGTATATTCATGAACGATTAAATTAATCATATTTTGAAGAAAAAACGAACAATAAAAAAGCCAGAATATAATTCAAAATAAAGGATGTTGGTGGCACCATTGCCTGTGTTCACAGTGGGATGACATAAAATTAATGGTATAAGTCTTTAACAATGCACATAAAGAAATTAAATTCAAGTTAGAAACTGAATCGGATAAAAAAGATATAACATTTTTGGACTTATACATATATAGAGCTATCTTTACTGTCAACAAGTATAAGAAACACACCACAAAAAATACTAAACTAATTGTCATTGCATCACGAATCTAGTCCAAAATTGATTAAACATTATTTGCATAAAAATAATTTAAAATCTTTACTTATTTTGTTAGTAGAAAATAGCTATCCTAAAAACGTAAGCAATATGATTATTAGCAAAAAATATAATATTCTTTTTAATAAAACTAACTGTGAAATGATCAAATTTAAAGCTTAGGTCCTTTTTATTATTAATACTTTTTTAGCATTATTCACTTTCATTCTGCAACGCCTACAAATCGCTTTCAATTAATATTTTTCCTTCGATAATTTCATTTGAGGTTATTCTTATTCTTAGACCTTTTTCAATGGCTCCAGTCAGCCATATAAGTGAGTATGACAGTGTCAGAGTCATACAATTATTACAGGATCAGCAAGCGCGAAGTCGCCAGTAAATTGAGTGTAAATCACTCTACAATAATAGGAACGGTTCTTTGGCGCTTCAGAGAAACTGAGCCTCACACTAGAAGGCCAGAATAAAAATGAGATAAGTAATTGATAAGTTAAGTTCGAAAGCATTCGATTTCCTCCAGGACTGTAAGAATCAGGATCAATGAAAATAACCTCAAGGCTCGTGGGCCCCTTTTTACCACAGCTCATTATAGGCTCAATCCAGGGAACATGTTCTTTTTACAGTTGAGATAACAGTTGGCCTCAAATCTTCAGGGTGGGGGGGCTAATTTCATATGGCGACGATCAGGAGAAAGGTACGACCCATGCATGGTTCCTCACGTGGCATTCCACGGTCATTGATGTTCTGGGGTGGCATTTCCTTGGTTGTTGTTGTGCGAGGAAGATCTCTAACTACACAAAGGTACCAGACACAATCGAAGAATGTCACATGTAGTGATATATGCACCTCACATCGGTGTGAGATTCTGCTAATGCAGGATAATGCCCGACCCCATATTGCCCCCGTGTTGTGCATGACTACTTGAATGAGATTGGAATTGAGGGGCTTAGTTTGATCAGCTCTAAGTTCAGATTTGAACCCGATCATTTGTTAATACAAATTAATAGCACGCTCTACTTAAAAACTAAAGGAAAACCAATAAAACAAACTTTGATTCCGATTACTTTTGTGACCAGTTGATTGGATCCACATTTATTTTCCTATAACTACTTTATTAATCCTAATTTTTTTAAAAATAATTTTCAGTTTAACTTGTAATAAGCTCATATTTTAAACATAGCATGTAATAAAGAAAACATGTATTAGCTCTGATGAAACGTAATATTAAAAAAAAAAAAAAACAGCGATTTCCGATTTATTTTGTGAGATACTTTATGTATTTTCAGTATACTATCAGACTCACGCCTGTGTCCTATCGCATTTTTCTTGGACCTGGAAAAAATCATTTTCGCGTTGCATTATTTGCTCTCGAGGCACGTAGCCAGCAATCAAACTCCTTTAACTGAGAAAACAAATGCTAATGAGGACTAATCGCAAGAATAAACATCATCGCGTCGTCACGGTCGTCCTTTCAGGATTTCGTGTCTACAAGTATAAATTCACCCTCCCACAGGAATTCCCTTTGCGGAAAACTTTGTGGTCTGGGGCAAAAAGGTGAAATTGTATTGATAAGCGGCATCCGGCAACCGGGGAAAAATAAAATAATGAACTTCTGGAAAATCTTATAGAATATTCCATACATACACAGTTCAAACCACGACGAGTGAAGAGGTTTTTATTTTTCAACCCAGAATGTTTATGATTTAGGCGAGCCTAATCAGTGTTGTTCAATGTCTGCGTTTATAAACAAAGTTATTAAAAAAACTCAAAAACTCACGCAACTCTGTTTTGCATTATTGACATGTGTCATGTGTCAACATCTTTCAAATTCATAAAATTTGAGTCAAACAAATAAGTTTTATATTTATGCGCTTTTTAGACACACCGCTAATAATGGTTTATTTGTTTTAATAACATGCACAATTATTAAATGGAAACGGTTTACCTGCATTTGCTAACTTACAAAATTTTGATTAGTTTTGCAAATGTCTAATTTAATTCTAATTGGGTTTTCAGGAAAATAATGCAGGTTTTCATGTTTTCTTTCAATTACTCCTCCGGTTACGTTGGAACGATTAATCTTTTGTACGAATGTCAACACTTTTAATTCTCTTCAAAACAAAAATGTTTTTTTACTAAATAATAATAATAAACTCGGCTGTAACAATGCCCAAACGGCCAGAAACATTATCGAAATCTGGGGCGATGACAGTGTGAGTGAGACCACCGTTCAGAGATGGTTTAAAAAATGTCGAGAGGGAAACTTCAGCTTTCAGAAGGTCGTGGAATTATTCTTCCCTAGATGATGATGTTCTGCAACTTTTGGTCGAGAACAACTGTTCAAGAATTTGCAGTTTCAGTTACCAAATCGACCTCTGATCACCTTAAGGCAATTGGAAAGGTAAAACGCCAGACAGTTGGGTTCCTCAGGCATTAAACGACATTGGATTCGCTACAACTGCAGACGTTCTGGACATATGTTTCCCATTGGGGGTACCAATGTCTTACAACATTGAGGTTCTTTAACGTGGGCACCTGGCACATAGGCCTTATCACACATTTTGTTTCTCAAGTTAGGAGCGACTTGAGAAACTAAACTTGTGATAAGTCCTATGTGCCAGGTGCCCACGTCCTGATGTTCTGGACAGTGGCTCGACAAAGTCAGTACAACATTTTCCAAAGCCCCCAACTGATCATAAAAGGTGATGGTGACTATGGTGTGCTTCATTTAGGCTGATTTACTACAGTTTCTTAAATCCCGGCGAAACAATCAATTCCAAAATGATTTGTCCCAAAATGAATCAATGCACGAGAAATTGGCTTTATTGAAACCATCTTTGATCAATCGGAAATGGGCGATTCTGTTTTTACATTTTCTGGAGTTTCTGTATCAGCTACACCGCTTTTCACTTTTTGATCATGACATTCCAGCGGACTTGCCAATCATTCCAGTTCAATGTCGTCATAGCTTTTTCAATGTCCGCTGGGCTGACGGTGTCTCCGGGATATGCGACATTTTCGCTGCTACTTTCGCCTCTCTTTCGTTTTCTTCGTTTCCTTTTAGGCCGACGTGACCCAGAATCCACAGCATTGAGACCTCCCATTCATTTTCCATTAATACCTCACGTCATCTTGTTGTATGAGTTGTATGATATATATATATNATATATGTATATTGGACCTTCTATTTTATGACTGCCAAAGCGTTCATACTAAATTTTAAACAGCAATCGTCTATCCATTCAATGTGATCAATTGTCCACGGCCGGCCAAGTAGCTGCTCTCAGATGAAGTATTCAAATGGTGTTGAGATGAACCAGTCCAGGGGCTTCTTTTTAATAGGTTTTTCATATCTTTAATAATTTTATATAATTCTGTAGATTTTTTAGTTACGCATACCAAAAGTCGTAGTTTATGTTGTTATTCCACGTTCATTCATTTATTATGGTTGCTATTAAACCAGCTGACAATGCAACAATAGTTGAATATTTTGAAGTAGTAATCCATATATGTTTAGCGCTCATAATTGACCGAATTAATTATTTTAATTAATTTTTTTTTCTCTAAGGTCTTGGTCAATGAAAAAGTTAGTGTAACGAGTGGGATTCGAACCCACGACTTTTGGCTGAATACGCCGCTGTTCTCGCCACTTAAACAATCATGACTTGGAACCACTCGAACACCAACTCCTCATCTCAGCCTACAATCTTTCGAATGTGTGGTGATTAGTGACCGTTAATCGATATTTATTTAGAAATCGTGAGACCGTCCAGACCGCATCTCACGATTTCTAAATAAAAATCTTTCGAATTTTCCTTCTGTTTGCCATTTTTTCAGCCGAAGGTCGTGGGTTCGAATCCCGCTCGTGACACTGTTTCATCACGACCAAGATCTTATTTTTTATTTTTTTAAATATTTTTTTTGGATACCAGGGACTGGAGGAGTTCCCTCCTGAGCACTGCAGCTGAGCTGTACAGCTTATTGTACTTTATCCCTGGCTCCATATTTTGGGGGAGGGCTCGCAACACAAATGTGAACTTGAGCCCCCGTTGTACCGAAGAAGAAACTCATTTTTGAAGGGGGTTGGGACCAAATTCAGGGTCGCTGAGATCCGATCCCGCCCCTTCCATTGATGAGTGCCGTGTCAATTTCTTTCAATTGAGGCCACCGGTCCCCTTAGGCGTCAGAAAAAGTCCAGAGGCGTCGGTGTGAATCGAACCCACGACCGCGGGATCTACTTGCCGAGAGTCTGACGCTTTCACCACTCGGCTACCGCGGTCCCCAAGATCTTAGATTAAAAGAATAATTATTTTACAGTAGGTAGAACCAAGATCCTGGAGATGTCAACAAAATAGTTGTTCACAATTCATTTCGAGGTAGATGAAGGCACTTGAGGTTCTAGGTGGTAGCCAATATAATTTATATANTATATATATAAAGAGTTTAAGTATCTGCTGTTTTTCGTTGGATTTGTATTACGCCATACCTGCGCGCTGTAGCCAGATGAATCGTTATTGAAAAACTATATTAATAGTTATTGTTAATCTGGGATGAGATGACATTGATGCTTTTCTTTTCTGAAGAATTGGATGAAACTTGCTGTAATTAATTCTCTCAACTTGTTTTTGCCAGCTTTCGCACAAAACAAAAATCAGAAATTATAGAAATTAGAAACGAGCGTAGAAAAGAGCGTTCTGTCTTGAATGGAATATCGTGAAAACAGAAAACCTCCGCAAAATATCTGGCTGTTGTTCCCACATAGTACACCTACGGGAGTCGTGGAACTTAATGGAAAAACGCCTAAAAATTCCTTTGGGGCGTACATAGAGAGGCTGACGACCTCTGTGGTCCGTGCTTTGCATGAAAGCCATCTGACAAACAGCATTCGCGGCTTTTATGACAATGACATTGGGGAGAAATCGTGAGAAAACTGTATTATTATTTTTAATATGGTTTTTACCAAATGTTTTCAACGGCTCTGTAAACCACACGAAGAATTTGGTCATAGTCGCATACTCAATATGGCCAAACACTTCACATTTTATTAGGGAATATCAAAGATAAAATCAAAACTTTAATTAAAAAAGTGTATATTAAACTTTCAAATGTGATAAAATGCGTTGTTGATTTTGGTGCCCTTTCAGATGGATTTATTTATAAACTTTCACGGCCAAAAATCTTACATCTCTCAGTTTACTTTAAAACGATTCTTTAAATTAAAAAAAATATTTTCATTGCTAATTATATATTTTGAAAAAAATCTCAAATTGAGGGATGATGTTCGCACTGGTATGAAAAAAAATCAAAAATGCTAGTTTCAAGATCTAGTTTTATACCTATTTTAATACATGAAAAAATCCTGGACATGGCCCAAACAGATAGAACGTTTTAAACAAATTTCATTACATTTGGCATAAAGCGGTTGGGGAGGATTATAGTTCATGTTGTTTAGTAATTTTTTGTTTTGTTTAGAGAGGGCCACAGTCACGCAATTTCTGGAACTCCGCTCCGAGGGATCCTTATCGTCATAGCGCTCTCGGTTCACCAGATCTTCGAGGGTCTTGCAGTAGGTCTTGAGGAAGGCGACTCCAAGACGGTCTGGATGGTGACATCAGCGATAGCAGCTCACAAATTGGTTATCGCAGTGTGCGTCGGTGCGGAAATGGCCTTCGCGAGAACCAACACCCTCACCAGGGCGATCTGCATCGCTACATTCGCCATAGCGACTCCCCTGGGGATCGCGATCGGGATCGGTCTTTGGTCCGGCAATGCGGACAACGATGTGACTACCGGATGCGTATCTGTGATACTGCAGGGTCTGGCCACAGGTACTCTGCTCTATGTCGTCTTCTTCGAAGTCCTGTCCAACACCAAAGAGGAGAGTAATTTTCTTCAATTTTTCGCTACGGCCGTCGGCTTCGTCCTTATGCTCATCTTAGTGATCTTCTTCAAAAGTTAAACATCGGATGCAATTATTCAAATAAAAACTATGACAAATACACGATGCCAGAAAAATTCGGCGTTCATAAATTATAATAAAATAAATATGTTTTGTGTTTATACTATATTATAAAACAGGGCAATAACCCATATTCAGAAATTTGTTTAATAACATAAAAGAAGGAAAAGAACAAACAGAAACAAAAAGTGAACTGTTCCTATAGAGAAAAATTTATTATAATTATTTTCGTACATGTATTCTGCTAGAAGAAAAAAGTTCGTTTTCGAGTTTACGATCTAATACTAATGATATTTAATTGTTTTTAGTTTTGCTTTAATTGCATTAGGCTTTAAGAATTTTCCAATTTTTAAATTATTTGTTTGTTTGTTCACTCAGAACTATTAAATCTTCACACCAAGCCATTTTTCCCAACCAGCGATATACATATTTTTATAAGTTTTAAATTACGGCTGTACATTTACTTTCCTGTAATTATATCTATTTATCTTTGTTCATTACATATTGTTAAGAAGGTTAATAGCTGACAATGGGTTAGATTTAGGGGGACGTAATTAGCCCAAGCAAAGATAAATACTTGCCAAAATGATCGTAATAATTAGTGAGCAGTTAAAAAAAAATATAAAAAAATAATCTGAAGGGGGCGTCGGTGGCCGCAACGGATTAGGAGTTGACACGGCGCTCATCATTGTAAGGTAAAGGTCCCGGGTTCGAATGCAGGGCCACTGGATTCGAACCCGACGTACTTACAAATGGGCTTTTTTTTTTAAACACCGCCACCCCGAGGGTTGATATAACCTCTGCCGTTGCGAACCCTCGTAAAATAAAAAAAATAAACTGAAGCAATTATGAAAAGCAAAAACTATATTTTAAATTTGATGTTAACGAGTGTAAAAATTATAGGAAAACTAAGAATATTAAAACGTTTGAATATTGTTCTTTTATGTAAATAATAAAATAATATAATTTAAGTACATACTTAATTGTTGTAAATACTGAATTTTAATTGTTGTTAAAAAATATCTACTGTTATTGTCAGAAGGTTTAACTTTTTTTGAGGATGGAAGGCTTCTTTTACTGCGCAGCATTTCTGAGTCGTGCAATATTATTCATCACATACGACAAATAGTTCCGTGTGGTTATTCGGGACTTGATGAAATCATCGGACTTCCCAGTGCTTTCATGCGACCGCAGGTGTTGCCTCTCGGTTCTTGGAACCGTTCTGGGATTTACATTTTCTAATGGATGGGAATTGAAAATAAAAATATAAACAAATCATACTTTGACGGCTCATTACACATTAAATAAGATGGGACAAGAGTATCAACGGTGTCCAAAGTAAGATCTAACCTATAAGGTTGGATAAAGATGTAATTAACATAAAACAGGATTCGGTCTACACCCATGTTTTATATTACACCTGATCATTTTGTCACGGTGGACTACCCTGTAACAAAATCTTCGGCTAAGCCAGGCGATCGTACGATAATCCACAAAATGATCAGATATGATAAGAAACATTGGTGTTACGTAACTTTCCTACATTTAGGTTTCTAGTTCTTCACCGTCGCATTACTTCTGTTTACTGGCCATTAGATCACGCTACTAGAAAATATAAAATCAAAAGTATGATCAGTTGTCATTATTGACATGACATGTTTGGTGCATTTATACAGATTTTAACTGACCAGGTCTGTCAATGTTTGATTTGTCATTAGGGATAAGCGAAAATAGGCTGATCAAGAGATAATGAGACGAAATAAAAACGAATGTATCTGCCAATGTAAAAAAAAGTATCCATAGCAGTACAAATATATGAAAAATATTTATATATGAATGAAATTAAAATGTCTTTATTGACATCGTTCTATTGTAATAATCGCCACGTGTAACTATTCGCAATTGTAGTGGCCGCGTTTCCGAAATCGTGGAGGCAGCATGAAGATTAAAACGTTAAAACTAGATGTATTTTGTAGGTGATTTATTTGTAAACAATATTATGTATTAATATTTGGATAAATAAATTAATATTTAATTGGAATAAATTGATTTGTTATTGTCTGCAAACCAACAACTATGTAATTTTGCATAACAGTTCGTCGTTTAAGGCTAGACCCAATATCTTTATAAATCAATCAGTCAGACTAATAAAAAAAAAAATTGAATGTAGCCCAAAGAACGACCGCGGCGCGTCTGCGGTTGTCCAAAAATGCCACCTTATGCAACGGAATCTGAGTGACACACATTCATCCACATTGGTCTGTGACACAATCGATTATGAATAAACGTTGTAAAAAAAATTCGCCGCCTACACGCCATCCTTGTAACTCATATCATCAAAAACAAATACTTCCTATGTATTTACATACACATTAAGTATATACACAGACAGGCAAAGAATTCCACTTACTTGAAATATAACTTGAGTTGTATATATTTTTACATGTTAATCAAAGTTACAATTAATTAAGGTTTTTTGTTGAGATAAAAAAGTTAATGGCACGAGCGGGACTCGAACCCACGATCTTCGGCTAGATACGCCGCTGCTCTACCACCTGAGCTATCGTGACCTCGATCCACTCGGACATCAACTTCCTATCTCAACCCCACCTTTTGGGTTTTCCCTCCTTTTTGCCATTTTTCAAATGTCGTGTAATCGGATTGGATTCTCGGCGACAAATGAAATGGCCACGGAGAGGTTTAGTGAAGTATACTTCATTTTAATTGATTAAATTCAATAATTTGGTGGTCCGCTTGACCAATTACTACATTACAATTAATTAAGGTTTTTAGTTGTAGTAGGAGCAGTGGCGTATCTAGCCGAAGATCGTGGGTTCGAATCCCGCTCGTGCCATTGACTTTTTTATCTCAACTAAAAACCTTAATTAATTGTAATATATTAATTGGTCAAGCGGACCACGAAATTAGTGAAGTTAATCAAACTTTTACGTTTTAAAAGTTCAATAATTGAGTCTTTGTCTAAAAAATGAACAAAAAATGTAAATTGAAAAAGGAAAATGAAAAAAAAAAGACGGACAGATAAAATTTGTTTTAAGATAACTTTCCAATCGCGTATTTCCTTGCCTTAATTCCATCTGGAAGACGGTTCGGCATACTTCCTACCAGTCTGGAAATGTCTCTTTGCTGGAGGTTAGCTCATTCTTCACGACGAGTCCTTTCAAGATCGTGGAGTGTATCAGGAAGTGATTGACCTGCTTTTGAGGATATCCCATAAATGTTCGATGGGGTTCAAGTCTGAAGAACGGCTGGCCAAGCTAAGACCCTGATTTTATGCTGCTGAAGGTACGTTTGTACTAGTCGAGCGACATGTAGACGGGCATTATCGTGCATTTGAATAAGATAGTCGCTGATTTCCTCGAGGATAGGCCACGCATGATGTTACAAAATTTCATCCACATAGCGAGTGGCCGTCAAAGACCATCCACGAACAACAACCAACTCTATGCGACTCTCCATTGAAATTCCCGCCTACACCATCATTGAGCTACGTTAAAAAGGTTGGCTCTGCTAAAAATGACAGGCTTGTACATTTAATTTCGCCTTCTCCACACTCTTTCACGCCCATCTGTAGATCGTAACGAAAATCTGCACTCATCTGTAAAAAGTACAGCAGACCAGTCGTCCAAAGACGTCGTCTTACGTGACGAAAAGCCATCAGCTCATACTGATTTAATCTTCTTCGAGCAGTGCCTTCAGAAACGTGGTCATCTTGATCGCTTGAACAACAGCAAGGTGCCAGTTTCTCAAAGTCAAAAAACGGTCATCCTGTGGTTCTGTTACTCTAGGGCCTAGGTGAAGACCATCCACGAACAACAACCAACTCTGTGCGACTCTCCATTGATATTCCCGCCCACACGTTCACTGAGCTGCGTTGAAAATGTTGGCACTGAGAAAAATTACAGGCTTCGTACCTTTCATTTCGCCTTCTCCATACACTTTCACCATCATCTGGATATCGTAGAACAAATCTACACATGTGTAAAAAGTACAACAGACCAATCATCCAAAGACCTGGCTGTGGTATCGAGCAAATGTTCGTCGTACAACTCTGTGGGGTTGTGTTCTGGTCAATTCTGGTCCTCGCACTGGGCGAAAGCCATCAGCCCATACTAATTTAATCTTCTTCGAGTAGTATGTTCAGAAATTTGGACACCTCGAACTTCCTTGAATTGCTTGAACATAACATAAGGGTAAGGTGCCGGTTTGGCGAAATTCTCAAAGTCAAAAAACGGTCATCTTGTGGTTCTGTTACCCTACGGCAAAATAAGAGGTAAATCAAAATGTATCATATTATTTATGCATTTATCCCCACGTTTAATTTTACATATTAGTCAAAGCAGTAGTTGCTAGTCAAATGACTCGATGTGTTTTAACACAAGAAACAGCACTACTTCCATTTACTGGAAATAAGTCAATAAACAAGAATTTTTAAAACTGTATTATAAATTAAGAATTTCATGCTCGAAAATCAAGAAATCAATCTAGTTCAATTCTCAATGCTTGAAATTAATCCTAACCCAGAAATTCGTTATTGATAAATTAAATAAAAAGAACTTTTCAACTCTCTTACAACGGAAATGCTATAAAAACATATTATTAGGTTGTCCGGAAAATAATAGTTTTTGGTTATAAAACAAAAAAAATTTAATAAATGATTTTAAACATTTTTTATTAATTAAAATACCCTCCATCACTCTAAGTACACTTCCTCCAACGTGATGATATTTCTATACCGTTCGACTAGAATTTTGCGTCTTTATTTTTTATTTATTTATTGGGGGTGCTGTCAACAGCTAGATCAATTTCACACTTGTTGTACTCAAGTTTATGCTTAAATACATTTACTCCTGATTACAAACCATTCATTCAATTAGGGTGGTGGAGCACTCGATATTCCGCCATCGATCCTCTTGTATCTTTGTTATTAACAAATTGATCAAAAGTCCAATGAAAATACGTTTATACAATTTGTTGAGTCCTTATTATCAAACAATTCCGTAAACACATTTTCTAATTACTTTTGATCAATAAATTTTTTATGTTTTAAATCTTTCACCAAGTGTCTGTTAAAAATGGTAGTTGGTA